CATCTGAGACAAGTAGACAATAGGGTTGTGGTCAGTAAGCAGTCACTGTAGTTCATGAAGAGCCACAATACACCTCAAAATGCTGCAAGGCAAAGAGCATCACAAGACTTCATACCTGTCCAGGCTCCCATTCTGGCCGAGAACTATTGTTTTTATAACAGTACCATCAGATACTTCCCGTATTCTCAAATCCAAACTTGACAAGTATGAGAGTTTATTTTTCAAGGGTTCATCTGATGAGTTTTAAACTTAGCAGAATAATGACTCGCACACTCCATCCTCGCCATCTTGGAATAGCACCAGCACCTTTATCACAGACGTCCACTCTGGTGACATCAGGAGAATCACTGCAGACAACAGATTTATCTGCACTGAAAGCCTTTTCACACTCACTGGTCCATACAAAGGAGCTGCAGGGCAACACGAAGAGGTAATGGGAGAAAACGTTTCAAATCTTATGCAAGCCATGTGTCCACCTCAGTCTCCACTGGACACACTGGTCCAAGACATGTCAGTATGCTGAAGAAAGTGGTCAAGGATCCCTGTTTAATTCTGTTTAACGTGTTTATAATCAGCAATAATCATGTTTAATATATTTGTAATCAGACATGGCATGCAACTGCAGTCAAAGTTGATTAGAGTTTAATGGAGGTTGCAAATTATTGAGGTGTGATGTGTCACACGTAGATAGTAAAGGAAATATCAGGAAATAGATGAAGTGAAAGAACAAGGCTGACCGACCTGAGCATGATACACACAAACCCAGGCAAAGGAGGAACCAAGCAATGGAGACTGCTGATCGGAAAGCAGATGGTCCAAAGAAGGAAGTGAGATGGGAAATTGACCTTTAAGCAATCTCATGTTAAGCAGAGCAGAGAACTCCATCTAAAGCAAACTAATTACAGCGAATCAAAGTTGCAGCTACTTCTGTTTTCCTTTTGTGAGGCTGTGATTGATGAGGCTCTGGCGTCTTAAAGTCGACTGCAGTGAAGAGGAACTTCAGGGTTTCCTTCCCAGCAGTCAACTCGCTGTCAACTGGATGGACAAAGACGCCTTGTATCAAGGTGAAGAGGATCCAAGACTCTGCAAGATCCAAGACCAAAACAGATAAAACAGAGAGCTGCTTCGAGTCTCAGGAAATCGCTCCAACAATTCCCAATGACTGTGGTTCTAATTTGGGATTCTGCCAAAAGCTGAGACCTGAGGAACCAACACTCACGGTTAAGTCAAGGACTCGTTAGTCAAGCAAGGATGGCTGACTGTCAGCAACCGGATAAAAATCTCCCTGAAGATATCTGCCTTCCTCAGTCTATCTGCTCCAGGCCCCCTGCTGGGGCCTGACGATGATAAATGCAGCTGAACCAACACTGTTAATACAGTCTTCCATGTGAGGGAGAGGGAGCGAGTCGGGCATAAAAGCAGCATTTGCCTTAGGAAGTCAGTACAAAGTTGTTGGACACCGTCAGGCTCAGCAGCTGGCAAACATGGAGGACTCCAGGGACTCCAGGGACTCTGTGGACTGGGTCTGGTTTTTCCAGCCTGTTCTCCAACAGATAACCAACGTCTTCTTTTGTCTAGGAGAAGCGATAAGCTGCTTCACTGGATCTGCTGTATCCACATCAATGTGATGTTCAGTCATGCAAATTTCAATGGAATGTCACGAAACAGATAGAGAAACCTTAAAGCACATGCAGCAATAAACTCACAGTGAACATGTAGAGGTCTCTGAAACTCATATCAAATACAGTAACAGTTTTTACTGGACACTCAGATATTTCACCATCCACTGCTTTATATAAAAATATGTGATGTGTCACACGTAGATAGTAAAGGAAATAGATGAAGTGAAAGAACAAGGCTGACCGACCTGAGCATGATACACATAAACCCAGGCAAAGGAGGAACCAAGCAATGGTTTAACTCTAATTTACTGACAATACATTTATCATACACATGTACTTATGGAGACTAATTTAACTTAACAAAGCATGAAATTAATAATCAATAATCAATAAGTCAATAATCAGACGATCAGTCCTGGACAGAAGTTCAAACTGATTGCAGGTTTCATTGCTTTGTTTTTTTTCTGTTCAAACTGTCAACACGTCACAGTGGTGGGTGTGTTGCTCCAATATACACACCGCTTCATATTTTACCTTGGCCAGTGGAGGGCGCTAACTCTACAGGGTCTGATGTGAACATCATTATATTTTCCTCTGCAGTACCGAGAGGTGGACACTAGATGTCCCTGTTCATCTGAGTCACATTACATGAACTCCTTCTGACATGTCAAGTCATCTCTGTTGTCTCCTGTCGGCCATGATGGAGATGTTGGGTGGAGTTGGTTTGAATTATGATATTATTGATAAACTGCTAAGTTCTAGTGTGCTCTGCATCCCCAGAACCAGAACCAAACATGGAGAAGCTTTTATGCACAACAAAACTGCAAATTGCGAAACAGCTGCAGCACTGGGTTCCTTTAAATCAGGACGAAAACCCACCTGGTGCCTTTGGTTGGTACTGAATGGAACATTGATCAACATAGTTCATGTGTATTGATGATTCTGATGATGCATTGGATAAAATTTAATGTGTGGTTATTTTCAAAACTGGTTTCTGTTGATGTTTTCATGATGGAAAGCACTTTCTGTCTTGTAGCTAAAATGTGAAAATAAAGATGAAGTTTAAATTCCTTTGCTTCCCAAAAACCTCAGACTAGTTAGTTCCCTTTCTGTTGTCACATGATGAAACATTATCCCTATTGCAACACTGTGTTACAATTATGCTTATAATCAGCAAATCAGTTTAGATTCTCTTCAAAAGAGAATATAAACCACGACTTATTCCATCTAATTTATTTTTAAATATAAAATAGGCCTTGTTAAAATTTGGGCCTATGTTAATTAGGCCCAAATAAAATAATGTCAATAATTATTTTAAGTGTTGCATCGTCCAGATGCAGTCAGGCAGGACGGGGCGCAGCGCTGCTAAATGTTTCATATCTATTATCACAGCAGCAGCTGTACAGCCCCAGATGAAGCACACTTACATCTACATGCCATTGACATGCTATGTATTTTAATGGTGTTTTAAAAACCATCAAACTTCTGCAACTCACCCCAATAAATAGAAAATATTCCTGCAGACATGAACGCCTCCGATCATAAAAGTGCTGCTGTTGTTTTCTTTCCACAGGAATCTTTATGGTGGACGCTGTCATCTTGGAAGTATCTCTTCTTCTAATAGTCGGTGACCATTGTGTGTTGAGTGATGTGTTGGTGATGTTTATGAATCCTGTGTTGCTGCAAACTTGCAGCGTATTGGTTTCATTCATAGTGAAGCCTGTATGTTAATCAGCTGTTAGTTTCCTCCCCACTGACAGAAACGACTCAGGTGAACCGGAATCTGTAAACAACCTGAACTAAAGCACAAAGTTGACCTTTTAAAATCTCTGGAGCTGAAGCATAAAGTGGTTTTACATGACATTTTGATAACATGTATAGAATCAATTCAGCATGTAGAGGCTGAGTGAATGTGGTCTGGACTCTGTGCAGGAGAAACACAGAGTGAGAAAGAAGCAGAAACGGAAGAAAATTTCAATTTTAAATAAACACACCATATGGAGATACTCTAAAGTAGCTGAGGCTTTAACAGGCAGGTTTTATTAAACTTAAGTTTAAGTTACAGTATAAAACAGTTAAGTAAAATTAAATCAACATCCTTTTTGTGTTAAAGAGCAGTTTAAGAACTGAAGAACAGAACATAAAAAACTGTCGTGGTTTTAGTGGTTGATCTGACGTTATTTATTTTACATTATATGAATAATTCCTAATTGCACTTTCTAGATCATTTGAATTAATGTTTGCTGTTGTTTATTTTCACCTGCTTGACCACAATAGTGAACTTATTGTTTTCAGTTTCACTTTCTTTATTATTGATTTTGCATTGGCTGTTATACTCACTAACTGCACTGACAGAACAAATCAAAGTTGTTTTTGACCAAGCTAAGTGTGCTGTACTGGTGTAGAGTTATCAAATCTGTAATTCAATATATTTATGTCTCTATTTATAAAAGAAAGGTTACACTGATTGGTCTTTTTTTTTTTTTAATTAGGCTCCCATGTATGACAGCTTGTGTTCATGTTTTATCTAATGGGTGAATCAGGTTATTAGAAAAACAAATAACAGAAAATATCACACTTTTAATCTAAATTAAATAAATATTGCATTAATTTAATTTACAACACTACACTGAGTCTTCCAGAAAGAGAAGCTGATTTGTGCCTCTTTGTTCAGGTCATAGTTTAATGAATATTGTATTTGGCGCCATCTGGTGGTCATATTTCTGTTTCTTTTGTCTCTTGTCTCGCCTCGTCTTCCCTGAAGCTCTGCAGAGTGAATGTTGTCCTTTTAGGACCACAGGACGTCCTGGACTCCAAATATCTTCCTGTTTTCAGTGATCAGAAACATTGATTACTCATTCTGTTTTCATCTGAAAACCACAACGATGGTTTCAATTATATTAGAAATGTAGAGGGATTTTCTTTGAAATATAAAATGTAGAAATTTTATAATAAAATGCAATGAAATACAACACAACTGATACACCTTTTTATAGTCAAACAGTTAGTCCACTTTATTAAGATCATTTTCCAAACAAAGACAACTTCAGGTCCTCCGTTTGATCCGGAATCAGATCTTTGTCCAATAAAATAACTGATTGATGGTGATCATAATCACAGTTTCCAGGATTTGGACAACAATGTTTGGTCTGACAAAGCAATAAAGCTAAATGAAATTAGTTTAGGTGAATAAAAATACTTCCTGTTCAGTCTCCATGGCTGAACAGAAACAGGAGGGGGCAGCACCGAACAACAAAGCATCAACTAAACAACAAACCAGATGACAGTAACTCTACACTTTTCAACACAGAAACAACAATTTAGTTTAAGAGGCAAATTTTTACTGACAAGGCAATAAAATCATGAAACTGCAACAGATCCTGGTTCAGTGACTTTATCACAGTTTTTATTCATTCATGAACTTTGACCTATAACCTGAAGACAGCATTACAGCTTCATAGGATAAATGTTGAACTTTGACCTCGTCCGGCTCATCACTTCCACCCGTTCTTATTTTTGGCAATTAAGAGTTCATTTCACAGCTGGTGTGAAGTCAGCTTTAATGAAAGTCTTTAAAGTTGTTCTTGTCACAGCGTCAGTTTCCCTGACACCAAAACCACACAACGTAAACTTAGTGAGATGGTGTCAATAATGCAATATTGACAAAACAAATAATATAAAACATATAAAAATACTTCGCTGGCTGATCCTTCCTTTTGAGGCAGAAATGAGATAATTAAAATAAATTCTTAAACTTAATGATCTTCCTTCATTTACTTGCCAAAGCATGCCGTTACATGTCAAGCATCTCTGGTAACTAGCAACGTACTGATTCCACTTCCTACCTTAATCTTCCAAAATAAGAGTCTTAAAAATATAAATAATACAAAATAAAACATGTAAATTAAAACTATGGCAGTAAAACGGCCGTCACCATGATTGGTTGTTTTGTGCAGGTGGAGTGAACCGTTCTGTGTCCTACACTGAAGTCACCATCTCACAGGACAGGAAGCCTCAGAGAATCACTGGTGAGTCGACAGTCGCTCTCTGGAAACACTGAGATGAACAAACAGTCCCTGAATGCATCACAGCCTTCAGAGCAGGTCAGAGCTGATATGGTTAAGAAACTGAACAGAAGTTCAGTTCCCTTCATTCCACGGAAAACACATTAACGTAAATTAATTTTAAGTCTCAGTGATTGGAGCAGCATAACATCCAGCAGAGCAGCAAATGATGCAAAATGTTCAAATGTCTCCATGATGCTCAGGAAGAAACCAGCAACTCTTCACTGGTTCAGGCCAAACTGGGCCAGTTTGATCCCAGTTTGATTGTTGCTGGTGTCTCTTCACAGACTGTCCATTCATCTGGAGAGGCTGCAGGTTTGAGCTGCATTTTCTATAATCTCTTCTCATTTCTTCACCTTTTGTGACGTTCAGTCAGAGATGAAAACCTTCCACTGGTCTCATTGATCTGTAGACAGACTCAACTTCAGGAGACACAGAAAAACAAGAGAAAAAACCAAGAGCTTCTCTTCAGGTGTTTCCTCTTCCTGGAGAAAAATCCACAACATTTTCTCATGTTTATCAGAAAGTTTGTGGGATTCCTGCAGAGTCTGTGAGCTGCTTTATGAAGAACCTTCAGGAGAACAAAAGAAAAAGTTCAGAGTCAAACAAAGAGCATTTTATTAGAGCATCACCTGCAGCACCATGGTGACATGACATCATCATGTGACCATGATAAGACTCACCTGGATTCATCGATAGTCTCAGATTGATCGACTCAACCTCCACAGTTTTCATGACGCTGCGGTTCATCAGGAATCACTGAGTTCTGCTCCACATCAACACAGGTCTGCTCTTGAGCAAGGCATCCAAACTGCAAGGCAGAGGCTCTCTGCAGGTTCTCTTGAAATCTGAAACAGGTTTATTATTTTCTTATTAATCTGATGAACATTATGAGAAAGAAGCTCTGATGTAGTTTAATTATTTCTGACTTACTTTGAGTTTTTGGAGCAATTTTTCAAGCTGAAGATGAAAAGCAAACTCAGAGAAATGATGAAGAGAATAAAGGGGAAAATAAGAAACAGCCTCGACCGACGACCTGAAATAAAAGAAGAAAAATGTCAGAAAACCCAAATAAAATAAAAAAACAAGTTAAAACCTGTTTTATTGTCAGAAGCATCAGAGTTTGGACCTGCAGACTCTCTGTTCCTGCTGGTTTCCTCCTGTGGCGTCGAACTCATGACGTTTCTGGGGAATTGTTATTTTAGCAAAGTTTGGACCTGAACAGAAACAATAACAGAATTTATGAGAAAAACAATTAAAGCTGAAGTTTGGACCCGTTTGTTCACCAACATGCTGACAACCATTTGTACTTTAATTTTATTTCGTTATGACAAAATATCACAACAAATGTCGTTTTGTTTTGATAAATAAGTTAATTAACCTAATTTAAATTAGTTAGTTTTAATGTGTTTAGTTTCAGCGTTAGCAGTCACTTTGTTTTTTTCTCCCCATTCTGTGGTTCATTTTTGTGATTGTTTTAAACATTTTTATGTTTTTTAAACATCGATTGGGTAAAAAAGACTCAACAAAAGATACCATTTTTAATAAATGTGTTCAATTATCGCTGAACAACCAACAGAATCAGGAGTTTTATCTAAACTATTTTCCAGATCAGCAGAAGTGAAATCAGGAGGATCATTGAGCAACAGCTGATATAATCTGCTGATGTTTATATAAAAAAACACTAAAATTAATAAACACAGAACCAAAGGACATTAGATATATAATATGAGGATGTGTAAATGTAAATGTCCAATATAGTTTCATTTAGTTAGTTATAGTTTAAAAACTCATTAATTAGTTTTTTTTTATTTCAATTAACAAAAATATTTACTAAATTTCAGTGTATTTTTTATTATAATAATCTTGACAGGGACTCAGGTGGGTCTCTGGATCAGATTAATCAGATACTTTTAGTTTCATCCACATGTTCATTTTCTCGCTTTTATTTCAGTTTTACAGCATTTAGACTTTAAGGTTCAGAAATAAAGCAGAAACTCACCAGAGACGTTGAGTCGACATTCTGCAGAGTTGAATCCATCTTCAGTTTTCACTTCACACTCATACAGACCAGAGTCTTCAGTCCTCAGTCTGGACACATGGAGTCTGATTCGTCCTTCTCTGAGGACGTCTTTGTTGCTCTGGACTCGTCCTGAAAACTGTTTATCCTGAAACTTTGGAATCTCAACTCCTTCATGAACCCGATAGAGAACTAGTCTTTATCAGGTCTCACCAAGCTGCAGATTATGAACAGATTCTTCCAGGTTCCCTGAGTCTTGGTGGTGAAGGTCCACTCCAGAGTGATGCTCTGCTTCTCCTCTGCCTGATAGCTGCTCTGTGTCACATTCACTACAAATGTTGCTGCTGAGGAGACAGAGAGGGAAAGAGAGGAGCAGACACACTGAGAACTGGAACATGGGAGTCTTTCAGCTCCATCTAGAGAGCTTTCTGTCACAAAGACAAGATGGAGACTGACCACAGAGACATGAGCTGAGGATGAGGAGCAGCAGGATGCTGGACATCATCTTCATCCTGAGAGAGGAAGAGGAGGAGATCATCTTCATCTGGTCAGAAAACTCCTCAAGATTTAGCTGTAAAAAAAAAAACAACAAATCTTCTCTTAAGCACCAATAAACAGCCCTGCACTGTTAAAATGTTAAAATAAGCAGAACTTTTCACTTGATGTTAGGAGAGATTTTTATCTGCAGATTGAACTTTTGCTACAGATGATTTAACATTCACTAAATAAATGTTATTATTGACTTTATGCAATAAAATGCTTTTTAGTTTAAGGGGATTGAATTGTTTGTTCATTGGGTTTTATTAAAGTATTTATAATATCATATTAAATAAGTCAAAATGGTTAAATCAAAACTCTGCAGAATATGTCAATTTTTTTCATCTGGTTAGTTGTCAGAATAATTTAATAAATCAATTATAGAATAAAATATTTTTTTTTACAACAATATTCTTTATTGTCTGACAGGGGGAAATAAATTCTGGTGCAACAGCAGCGTGACGGATTACAGAATGATGATGATGATGATAATGTAACATAGTTAATGTTGTCATTACTTCCAAGTTTGGGTTCAGGTGTAATGGGTGAAACAGCACCCCCTCCTGGTGATTGGCAACGTTAACTATAGTGAACATAGATATCTTGTTGCCAGTTCATGAGAGATGGCGCGAGGTAGGTTCACTGGGAACATTGTAAAAGTCCTGTAAAATGTTCTGTTAGCTTGTTGCTAATAAAATACTATTCCTCGTAAGGTGCTGTACTGCCGGTGATGAACCTGGTCCCTGATTGTTTTATATCCTGTTTCATACAGACAAACCACATTTTGTCTCATCCTGTCTCCTGGTATCGTATTCACACAACGCAGAGCTGATGAAAAGCCATCATAACTAAAAAGATTAAAATAAGAATACAAAATATTTGAAAACAGAATGAAGAACAAGTTGTAGGGCAGAAAGGGCAGAAAGGGCAAAATTCTCCCACAGTGAAAATATAAAGGGGTGGAGTTTTCCTGAACAGGAAGGTGTGTCTTGTGTCAAACTCCAGTCCTATAGTTTTGGGTACTGTCCTATAGTTTTTAGATGAGCTACGGGTTCAAAACATTGAAATGAAATGGCTTAATTACCTCTTCCTGGGGTAAATCAGATCTCCAGAGCCTGATCTTCCCAATTATTGCACCACCTAATTATTCTATCAGGTGGTGCAGCAGAGGCTCATCTAACATTTGCAGGACACCGACCCTTGAGGACTGGAGTTTGAGACCTCTGTCCCTGCTCTTGGGACAGGGGTGTTAGAAAATGGATGGGTGGGAGGAATGAATTCCTGTGTTGCCCCTTTATTGCCCCCAGCTGCCCTTTGTTCCCCCTGATTCTCTCCCTTGTGTATTTAAAGCCATTGTGTAATTTATCTCTACAGTTGTGTGTCATGTCTCAGTCTGAGTTTCTCCAGTCTGAGTTTCTAGCCTGAATATTCACCAGTGCTGCCTGGATTTCTATATTCTCCGTTGTAACTATTAAAACCACAATTTTTCTCCCTTCCTTCAGTTTAAAACCATGGACAGCATCGTGCTGCCAGTAAAGTAATTCAGATCGTCATTCCTTCTAGTTTCCCCACAACAAACTTGATGAAATGGAAGGGTTGCAGCGCCTCCAGTTTAGTGTGATTTTCAAAATAAAATGGCGTCTATCACCGCTCGGCGCGCTCACGCTGCCAGGCGGAGACGTGCACGAGTTTAATACCAGAATAGTGGCAACAGCAACCGAACCAAAACAGGGAACAAAGTGAGAAGAAAAAAAATTTAATTAACTTAAAAACATAACATGAACGTTTAACCAGTTTAAAAAGAGATGACAATTATTGCTCGTTGTTTAAATCATATCTTCACAAACTGATCAAAGTTTGAATGGAGACGCTTCCTCGTTGCTTAGTAACAGTTTAACGTAAGTTGAGGAGAAAAGCAGCAGCTTTTACTTTTAACAGGCGTCCAGAGCAGAACCACGAAGAAGATAAAAGTCCAAAATCCTGAACGGCTGAAGAAAATCTCACAGAGACCAACTGGTACCGACATTACAACAGAATTGTTGTCACTCTCCTCGTAAGGAGAGTTCATCCTTACAACAGGAATGTTAACACTCTCCTCCCCTCTCTCGCAGAGAGAGGGGAGGAGAGTGTTTCGGAAAGTGCGACACACTTTCCGGAACACTCTCCTCCCCTCTCTCTCTCTGCGAAGGGAGGAGTCATGGTACTGACTCTAAAGAAGTGAAAGTCTCCACGTGTTTTCACCACATAACTTGTTTTAATAACACATTATTAAAACAAGATAATGCACACATTATTTATGTGTGCATTATTTTTTATATGCACACATATGAAAAATAACAATTTCTCTTCAATATTTGAGAATTTATTAACAAAATACCTCAATACTTCAGTCAACAAACTTTTTAACCAGGCAAACAAAAACTAAGCTATTAAAGTAGAGAAGAGAATAATAAAAAACTAATAAATCATGAAAAATAATAGTAAAAAAGAAACCAAGGTTTGAGAAAGTTAATAATGTTGTGGTCAGTAGCAGATTTAATGGACTTATGGTCACTAATGAAGGTCTTCATTACTTGAATAAAAACACTTTAAATGTGTGATGAAGAATTAAAGACAGATACGGATTGAAGTATTTTATTTTTTGTGTTTTCATGCAATGTCATCTCAGCTGGAACTGATGTTGTCCTGTTAAAATAAAACAAACCAATGGAAGTGTTGTAACTGTTGAAATGCATTAAATGTATATGTAGATTGTGGCTTAACTCTGTCTCTTCCTCTGCAGGATGTTCAGATCTCCTGCCTCAACATTCCTCTTTAAACCTGCTGCTAAGAGCCATCATGACAGATACCAACAAGGAGGCGCTGCAATAAGTTTAAAGTCTGTCCAGATATATTTTATTAGTGATAAAATGAAGGAAAACCAGAAATAAAACAAACACACTCACATTACTGAATCCTCACTTTTCAACCAAAGTTAGTCACAACTTTAAAGTAAAACTCTAAACAAATGTAGCCGAATTCGACTCTCCAGCTTTATTCACTCACACAGTTCAGCACAACAAGAAAAGCAAAACAATATAATTAACAAACTGTAACTGAATAAATAACAGTTGACAGGTAAACTGGTTGAGTCTGATCAGAGCAAACATGGCCGCCGCTCTGGTTGGACTGGCGGCGTGTCAGATCAGAGCTGTGGTTTCAGCGCTGTGCGCCTCAACAGCAGAAGGAAAACCACTTCATGATCAGTCAGCCTCTTTCAGAGCCTTTAGATTATATCAGGCGGCTAGCTTCAGGCCGTTAGCCTGAGGTGCGTTCAGGCTCCTGAACGCAGCCTGAATGCAACCTGAGGTGCGTTCAGGCTCCTGAATGCAGCCTGAATGCAACCTGAGGTGCGTTCAGGCTCCTGAACGCAGCCTGAATGCAACCTGAGGTGCGTTCAGGCTCCTGAACGCAGCCTGAATGCAACCTGAGGTGCGTTCAGGCTCCTGAACGCAGCCTGAATGCAACCTGAGGTGCGTTCAGGCTCCTTAACGCAGCCTGAATGCAACCTGAGGTGCGTTCAGGCTCCTGAACGCAGCCTGAATGCAACCTGAGGTGCGTTCAGGCTCCTGAACGCATCCTGAATGCAACCTGAGGTATGTTCAGGCTCCTGAACGCAGCCTGAATGCAACCTGAGGTGCGTTCAGGCTCCTGAACGCAGCCTGAATGCAACCTGAGGTGCGTTCAGGCTCCTGAACGCATCCTGAATGCAACCTGAGGTATGTTCAGGCTCCTGAACGCAGCCTGAATGCAACCTGAGGTGCGTTCAGGCTCCTTAACGCAGCCTGAATGCAACCTGAGGTGCGTTCAGGCTCCTGAATGCAGCCTGAATGCAACCTGAGGTGCGTTCAGGCTCCTGAACGCAGCCTGAATGCAACCTGAGGTGCGTTCAGGCTCCTGAACGCAGCCTGAATGCAACCTGAGGTGCGTTCAGGCTCCTGAACGCAGCCTGAATGCAACCTGAGGTGCGTTCAGGCTCCTGAACGCAGCCTGAATGCAACCTGAGGTGCGTTCAGGCTCCTGAACGCAGCCTGAATGCAACCTTGGAGCCTGAACGCAGGGGGGAAGAGGATCAGGGTTTCGTAGCGCTATGACGTCACAGTGAGTCCAGCGGCAACAACAATAAAACAGATTAATAACGTTAACAGATTATTACCATTAATTATAAACATTGTTACTGGGAACCAAACATAACGCTTACTTCACCATTATTTCATCTAAATATTACACTCTTCACTGAACTGATTTGACATCAAATCTTGGTTGATTTGATATTTCTTAGCTTAAAATGAGGCTCCAAAATCTACCATTCCTATTTCTGCAGGTCTCTTGATGTTTTCCTCCCTTTTGGTCCAGTTAGTGTGATTTTATAAATAATTTAAATGTTTCCTGAAAACCTCAGCAGAGTTAAAAGCCACCATGTTGCTCTGCACTAACTTCCCAATTTAACTTCTTGAATTCGGCACCTGTCTCTTTAAGAAGCTCCTTCTCTTCTGTATAGCATTGAGATCTATACATTTCTCTATATCTTCCTCCCTTCATGAACTCTGGTCTTTATATTTCTTTGTTCTGTCAGTTTAAAATAATCCTGTCACTCCAACCTAATCCAACCCAGATTATTTTAGTTTTCCTCTGCAGTACCCAGAGGTGGACACTAGATGTCCCTGTTCATTTGTGTCACAGGATTCAAAGCTGTGACTCATTGATTTTGTCCCATAAACTCCTCATAAACATCAGCTCATCTCTGCTGTCAGCCATGATGGAGACGTCAGAGGATTTTATTTTTGGCTTTAAACAATAAATGCTTTAAAAAGAAAGACTTTTTCATCTCAAATGTAGATGTGACATTTTCACCAACGACCACTCTAGGAAGGTTTAATAAGGAACAATCCATTAATGGAGAAGAACCTGCAGCCTCACTGTTAGCTATGGTAGAAGATCTGTGATGCTGTGGGCCTGTCAGAGGATCAGGGAATCTTGTTAGACTGAATGGGATGCAACCATGTTTAGCTTACACAAATATCAATAATTAAGATGAAGTTATTACTAATATAATTATTAATAAAAGTGTCTTACAGTTTCATAATCAGGAAAAATTATCCCAACACCTTCAGTCTCTTGTTAATAATCTAATGTAACACTACAGGACGTCTGACGCTGCAACAATAAACACAAACTGTTTCTCTCCAGAGTATGAGAATTTATTTTAAAGAAATAACTCAACCATACAGTACATAAACTACAAATATGCAAGTGAATAATAAAATCTAAATCTAATCAACTAATATGTTGATGAAAGAACCTGGAATACTGAATAATATGAAGATTATTGAACTAATAGTGCCTAATAATAAACAGAAATGTAGCAAATCACAATTCAGCAAAGACAAGCATTAGAAAAACAATCAGGATGTTTATTACATCATGTTTCCATCAGATCATCTAAACATGGATTTGATCAACATTTAATCTGACACAGCAATAAATGTCGACTTGATCAGGGGTGAATAAAAATCCTTAGATCAGAAACAGGAAGGGGCAGCACCCAAACAAACTCAACAAAACAAACAAGATGATAAAGTTGCTCCATAAAGGCAGCTGATCTCTGATCAGTGAAGAAACAACAAACTGGAACTAAAATACACATTTTAACCACCTGGAGCTCAGATCACTGCTGACTATTTAGTTTTAATAAACTCAACAGAGTCTCCAAAACTCAGAGGCGTAATCCCAGCATACAGAGGCTCAGTGAATCTGGTCTGGACTCTGTGGATCAGAGTCATGGGTCCAGAGACGTTGTAGAAAGACAGAACACCTGCTCTGTGGTCCAGATACACTCCCACTCTGGACAAATTAGAACCTGGTACTGGAGTCACAACGTTGTGATAAAATACGGTACAGACCAGGTGACAATATAAGCACCAAGATTTGTTGTTTTGTCCAAATTCTTCTGATCTGTTCATGTCCTTGTAGGAAACTCCGACACCAACTAGTCTCCCAGTCCAGGCCACCTCCCAGTAACAACGTCCAGTCAGACTCTCTCTGCTCAGAACCTGCTTATGAACAGAGAATCTGTCTGGATGATCCGGATAAAACTGTTGCTGTCTTACAGTTTTAGATTTTCTGTTCTTCTTAGATATTGAAAGCTTCTTGTGTGCCGTGTTTGGATCCAGAGTGAGTTCTTGGAAATACTGTAGGAATTCACGTCTGGTCTTTGGTTCTGGTTCTGGTTCTGCCAGTAGGACATCAACATCACTTATTGCCAGTTGAATGTTTCTCCATGAGTCTCTCAGGATGTCCTGTAGTTTGTCTCTGAGCTCTGACACAGCTGCTGTCACGTCCTCAAAGTGTCTCAGAGGACGGATCTTGATGCTGGATGATCCTGTAGACTCACTGAGTGCTGGCAGTGAGGGGTAGTTGAGGAGAAACTGGGTGTGATCCTCTGTGTGTGAGAGCTGCTCCAGCTCAGCGTCTTTCCTCTTCAGCTCAGTGATCTCCTGCTGCAGCTTCTCCTGAACATCTTTGACTCGACTCACTTCAGTTTCCTGCTGGGATCTGATCTGCTGCTTCACATCAGAGCTTCTTTCCTGGAGGAGACGGATCAGCTCAGTGAAGATCTTCTCACTGTCCTCCACTGCTTTATCAGCAGAGTGAAGCTGCTCCTGTTGAAGCAGCTTCACATCTTTCTCTTGGTCCTGGATTCTCTGATGGATTTGTTGTCGACTCTCCTGGAGCTCCTTCTGCTTCTCAGCTCTTTCTGCTTCTGCAGAGGCTGTTTCATAACCATCCATCAACATCTTCATCACCTCCTCATGATGAGAGCAGATGCTCTCCATGAGAGTGTTGGATGGATCCACCAGCTTGTGTTTTTTAAAAGCAGGTAATTGATAATGAGTCTGAAGATGATTCTCACAGTAAGTAATCAGACAAACCAGACAGGTTTTAACAGCTTTCATCTTCCTCCCAGTGCAGACATCACAGGCCACATCTTCAGGTCCA